TTGACTGAACGCTCAGCAAAATTTACTGGCAGCTAAGAAATCGTCACGGTAGAAAATTTAGCCGATGACTGAAATAACAGCAACCTCAGGGGAGAACCACCACCTTCCATTTCGCCCGATTGTTCAAGATTTTTCCGTGTACACTTGTGAAGCATTTTGTCACCATCATGACCAGTTAGCTTTTTATTATAATTTAGCGTTGTAAAATGATGTGGGTTTTTTTCGAACTCCGCGGGGTTCATTTTGATCTTAGCTTTTTATAATGTTTCTGTCTCATAAGCACCAAGGATCATACATAAATGATTTATAACTGTCGTTTTGTTCTTTTTCTTTTTAGGAAGCCGTACACCCCAGATATTTTTAACGACTTGTCTCCTTACTACAACACCTACATAGTAAATTACATGATAAATGACCAGGTAGGTAATAAGTACAATATCAAATGATGTAAACCAAGTGATTTGTTTATCTGCTGTGATATCCAGTACTGCGTCGGCGCGTGAGCTATTTGAGGTACAGTCACGAGGACGACGTTTCCCATTTTCGTCCCCAGAGCCCTCTGTTTCTTTTTACCACGTGGTCGGCGAAACGGAGGGGAACGACAGTTTAGAACGAGTAGCACTGGGGAGGAGAATGGACGTTTCCATCATCATCCATTTGTAAACGTACTTTTTCACACTGAAAAAGGAATAAAGCCGGTAATTGTAAGCACTCTGTACTCAAGTTAGCAAAGCCGGGTTTCTGGTAGAACACAGTCCGGTACTGAATTCGAATCTGAATGTGCAAGTGCAAGAAATGTGCGCTTATTTGCCAAATCATCGTTTTGACTAAATTTAATTCATATTTACATGGTTCAGTAATCCCAAATTAGTGAACAAGTGATAATTCTGTGAGGCAGTAACTAGACAAACACGTTAACTTTGCACTTGTTATTTTATCGGCTGCAGGTTGATTACGTTCCACGTCCGGGGTGGGGAACAAGAGCCACGACTCTTAGGCTTGTAGGTAAGTATATCATCATGACCACAGTATAGAATAGCCATTCAGGCTGACAAGCTAACATGAGAGCTCTGTGCCAGTCATGTGTCTTGTCGATTCCGCTTCTTCCTTACAGCAATTTCTTCTATCACTGACTTATCAAATTGAATTCGCCCCGAGGAAACTAGGAGACAGAACATTTTTGTTCGCCGACGAACAACTGATGTAGATAAAAAACGTTGTAACCAAGAAACGCCTCAACTGCAGGCTGACTGAGTAGATCCTTTTCACTATGACTAGAATCTTAAAGTCGTGCAAGTTTCTAAGCAGCTGATGCTATATATTGCTACACCAAGAGCTTGCAATAATGCGTTAATTGTTTGTCTTCAGATCCTGATGAATCCTGGAGGATGGATCAGTAAGTTACTCAGGACCTGTCAAGCGTTTGTTCATCACGTCAAGTTTTGTATTTCATCCTTGATTAAATTCTAAGCAATTAATCACTAAAAACTTGTTCTTACGCATTTTTTTTTAGTTTCCCAGGTCCAAAATATGACTCTGTAGTGCCCCGGTGTTTTTATAAGCCTGCTATTTGGTAAGTAGCTTCTTCATGTGGAAATTGATGAACATAATAAAAAGAAACTATGATGTCTAGTTTAGATACAACAAAAACACAACTGATTAGGGGAAGACTAGATGATTTCATGAAATGAAACATTTCTTAAACGTGCCAACTACGAGGGCCTCTCGGAGATTTTGGGAACAAGGAAAGTGATGATAATTTATTTCAAGGGAACAAGGGATATTTTTCGGAGTAATCTGAGAGAGCAAGGGATATCTCTTAACAGAAACTTTGACACAAAATTTCAGGGAACAATGGGAATCATTTGAAGGGAATAAGCTAGAAAAAGTGAAATTTTCAAGGAATCAAGGGAAGATGCTAAATCCCCCTCTCCCCCCTGGGAGGGCCTCGACTGTAAAAAAATTAATTGACGTAGTAAAAGAATATCGTAAATATCTTTTTCGTCTCATTCTAGGAGCAAGAATGTGTCTGGAAAAGACACCAGTAGGGGAAGCACAAGACTTCCCCCGATACCAAAAGTAGCTTATCCAAGATTCCAGCAAAAACAGTATCAGCATTTTAACATGAACTACTCACATGTACAGCCATTCAGGTAAGATTATCCCTGATATCCGAGAATGCCAAAACATCAATTGCCTGAAACCGCTTTTTTTCAGAAATTCGCCAAAAATGTTTACCCTTTTCCTCTTAACATTGCTAAACTACAAAGTCAGCAGTCGCTCTGATTTATCAACCCAAACAACACGCTCATGAAAGACTGCTTAAAAAGGTTGTCTCTGGGTTTGGGAGTTAGGAAGAGACCTTCTCTCGACAAATGCTTTGATTTGACCGCTGACTACATTTCAGACGTTTAATTTTTGGACACTTTGTTGAAACCTTCCTTAAAAATATTGCGACTGCAAAACACGAATCAGACTGAAACAACACCTGTGAAAATGAAAGTTTTTCTGCACCCTCAAGGGTTTACAGATACGCCGACGAGAAAATAACACAACTATTCAATCACCGCCTTTAAAAAATTTATACTGTACTGTAAATATTTCGGACGCTTAAAAATTTCGGACGGTTTTATTTTCGAACACTTTTTGTGTCCGAACTTAAAATCTTCCAAACTTTTTTTCAAGTAATGTAGTGATGGTTTGTTGTTGTTGTTTTTTCTTCTTCCAGAAGCGAAATAAACCGCCTCAAGGAAACCAAAGCGCAGAAGAGAATGAAACAAGACCACACTAGGACGCTGAACGACTGGCAGCGAATGAATCTGACAGAACTCAAGGTGCTGCCAGAACAGTCTCGGTATCAAGTCAAGAAAGCCATCATGTCTTACCTGGGAACATCAAAAGGATCAAACAAAGCGCTTAAACCTCTTCTGAGTGAACTCAACACTGCAGAATAAACAGCGCAGTCTCGGAAGAGAAAATTTCCTCTACCGGCTAACAGGAAAAAACTTGCCTTATAGTTTGTCGGTAGCTAGAAGAAACATTTCTGTCCTTTTAATTTGATGCTTGATGCAAGATTCTCCCGAGCTGACGATTTTGCGAGCATTACTGAGACCCTGTATACTGTATTGCCTGGGAGAATATTATATCGTCAACACTGAAGATTTTGGTCATGCTCTTCTTGGGCGAACTGGTTACCTTTATAAAAATGAAATATTCATTTACTAAGTACCGCAACAAAAGCAATTCAGGGACCTAGAAGTTGGAGATAGGAGTGCTAATTAGAATGTTTCCGTCCGTCTCAGGTCAGGTTAGGATATTCTGTGACCTGTTCAATTTTTTTTTTTAATTTGTATGCAACAAAACAGAATGACCGAATGCTCTTTAAAGAAAATATATTATTAAAAAAAGTAAAGCTGCATGAAGAGCATCGAGCTGTTGTAAAAATAGAATACAAATATTTATAACAAGTGTGGAGAGAACAACCTCGTTCTGATGATGTAACTCATATAGACAGTGTGTTAAAGCGAGGCTGAATGATCGTGTGAGAAATGTGTGGAAAATATAAATTAAGAAAAACAAAGGTAGTAATTAAATAAGTTAGATTTCAACCAGTGTGTATTGATTGTAATTTGATACTGAACATAAATAAACGCAAAATTAATTTCTTATTCTCTTACAGCAATGAGACAGTTTCGTTTAAAGAACAAAAGCTTCATGTGTTTGTCCAAAAATCTCTGGGAGGGAAATAAATATGCCATGTGATCCTAGCCTGCCATCAGCCGACTCTCTCCCAGACGCTCGCTCTTCACGACCATTTCGTCTATGGTTTTTCTGGTCGGGTATTACAAAGACGCGAGGATTGGAGGGGGGGGGGAGTTTAAACTTTAGACACCTTCCGTGGGAGGGGTATGGATATTTTATGGAACAACACATTCATCCAAATGGCATTGACCTACACTGTACAGGCTTTGTATGTTCCGTTCACATGTTGCACGACTTACTCTACGGACGTTCATTAAGCGGCGTTCAGTAATTTGTCTGAACAGGCAATGTTATGCGTTCAGTAATTTGTCTGAACAGGTAATGTTATGGTCCAAGCTCGGTTTGTGAAATTCAGTGACAGGAGAATGTCATCCAGGCAGCAACCTGACTTTTAAAGTGGCGGTAAATTGGGTATGCGGTACATGTTTTAATCCAAAAATTCTAAGGGACACTGACCGCTGGAATAAATAAGGAGTGCATATTGACAAAAAAATATTGGCCAAAATTTGATGCTCACTGGAAATCGAAAAATTCATAACTTAAGCCCAGGCCAAACCTTGAACTTCACATGAGAAGAACTAATTTGCTATTTGAGTCGATCCAAATGGGTAAAGCTTGACAATTAAGTCAAGCGTCTGACAAAAATTCCATCTGCTTCAGATGGATAGAACGTATTGGTCGACCTAAATTCAGTTGGATGAACTCAGTTGAGTCAAGCGTCAAACTTGTCATGAACTTAATTTGCTCAGTTTAGTTTGTCTCTTGTGAAGTTCGACGTTTGACCTTGGCCTTAGTGTCCTTCACAGCCATTATTTTGGACATCACAGAACACTTGTTTCTACAATGATGGTCCAAATAACAGCTGTAATGGAGACTGGAGAGCAAACTGGAGAGGAGACGCACAATGCACAACAACATACAACAGTCTGTTGTTTCTGTTTGTTTATTCAATGTATAATTCAGGCCTTCTTTTTCTTTGCAAGGAGGATTCCATCAAACTAAAAAAAAGGAAAACATTATGTCAACAGAAATTTCACAAAACATGCACGTTGCCATACTATATACAAAAACAGGGATGAGTTGTTTGACTGTTACCTTTTGCTGGAACCATTTCATGGACTCTTCCTTAGAAATCTTGTGAGGGGCACCAACATGAGCCTTTGCTCTTCTTCTCTTTGCCACATTGAATCCTGGACGGCCAAGTACAACATAGAAATCCATTCCATAAATACCAATAGTTGGGTCATACTTGATACCAAGATCAATATGTTCCTGGATGCCAAACCCAAAGTTTCCTGAAACAATAAACACATCTAGTTAATAAATAAAATATATACATTTCCTTTAAAATTATTAATAATGGAAAGTTTATACAGTTTTTTCCCGGGGTTCCTCATTTAACTTGACTATTTGCACAGAAAAAGGAAATGAAGGCAGAATTTAATTAATAGTAGTGTGATCACGTGGGAAGTTCTGAAAAGAACTGTTGTTAGTGACTTAGATTTTGATAACCTGAGAGGTCATCTTTAAAGTCAAGTGAAAAGTGTCTGACGGTTGATGATGTAATAAATTTGGTCTGTTGAAACTGATTTGTTAGGTTAGTCGTGGTTACTTGCTGCACAATTTGTACCATCATGGCTTAACTACTTGGTGTCAAGGATCAACGTGCTTGCCTTTTCTGTCATATCAGCCATGATGCCCTCATCTGATAACTACCATGTACACACTGCATGTTGGCATTTTTTTTATTTTTAAAAAAAGTACAGTTGAACCTCACTATTTCATGGGAAACAAAAAATAGCAAAAAGTAAATGGCTGAAGGACAAATCCAAGGGAAATACTTTTGAGTTCAAAATAAAGGAGAATTCGAAATAATCAAGTTTGAATTGACAGGGTCCAACTGTAACTTTGTCTAAATCAAACCTGTGGCTGAGAAATTCTCCTTGTTCAGTTCATACTCCTTCACTTTCAAGCCCTTCTCTAAGATTTCTTCAGCCTTGGCACCTCGCACAGTGCAGTGAACTGCAATTTTCTCATTCCTTCGAATTCCAAAGGACCTCACTGTGTATCGAGCTGAAACAGAGATATTGGGATCCATCAATACCAGTCACTTAAGCAACTAGAGTTAAGAATTCAATTTATCTTATTTATCTTTATTATAATTTATTACATTTTTGTTCTTATCCCAATAGACCAGTTTTGATTTATTAAAATTCTAACTTGGAGCCAAGGCTTAGGGGAAAACTAAAAATATCATTTATTCCTCGAACTAGATGCAGAGTTGCCTCATGGCTAGCCTGTGTGGCAGGACCGTAGAAGGGGAGGAAAAGGGTCAAAATGAGTGCGGGAGGATACCCTCAAACGCTTCGCATGATCAATCCTCCCGCACTTCACGTACTCATTTGTTCCCCTATCCCTCCTCTTCAGACACCTGCCATGCAGGCTGTCATGGCTTAAGTGTGCTCGACTCAGGATCAAGCAATCCAGATTCAAGCCCTGGCTGGGGCCATTGTGTTCTTGGGCAAAACACTTAACTTTCACAGCACCTCTCTCTGACTAGGTACCCAAATAGATACTGGTGAATTTAACACTGGGGGTAACCCTACAATGGACTAGCATCTCATCCAGGGGGGAGTAGAAATATTCCTAGTCGCTTCATGCTACAGAGACCGGGATAAGCCTGATGGGCCACTTGGTTTGTATGCAGACTTTATCTACCTTCCAACCTAGATGTGAAAATCTTTCTTTTGTGTTACTCCCCTAAACCTCGGTCCCAAGTTGGAATTTTAATATATCGAAATTGGTCTATTAAGATGTTTATTTTGAATTAACATGAAATTAACATGAAAGGGAACATTTAGAATAAAAATGTAGCCTAGATTCAAGCCACTCGTGCGTTAATAAAACATGAAATAAGGAATCGGGGATACAACTTGAAATGAACCTTTGGAGTAGACTGGCTGCTGTCCAGTTAACTGTTCAAGAACCTTGGCAGCCCGAGTCAGTCTGTCACCGCTCTCACCAACACAAATGTTCAGACATAACTTCCTGATTTGTAGCTCCTTCATGGGATTTTGTTTGGCCTGAACCTTAAAGAGCCAACGATAAAATCATAATTTAAGTAAAATTATAANGATTTCTTCAGCCTTGGCACCTCGCACAGTGCAGTGAACCGCAATTTTCTCATTCCTTCGAATTCCAAAGGACCTCACTGTGTATCGAGCTGAAACAGAGATATTGGGATCCATCAATACAAGTCACTTAAGCAACTATAGTTAAGAATTCAATTTATCTTATTTATTTTTATCATAATTTATTACATTTTTGTTATCACAATAGACCAGTTTTGATATATTAAAATTCTAACTTGGAGCCAAGGCTTAGGGGAAAACAAAAGAAATCATTTATTTATTTCTCAACCTAGATGTGGAATTGCCTCATGGCTAGCAGGCCGTAGAATGGGAGGAAAAGGGTCAAAATGAGTACGGGAGGATATCCCCAAGCGCTCCCCAGGATCAATCCTCCCGCACTTCACATACTCATTTTCCCCCTTTCCCTCCCCTTCAGACACCTGCGATGCAGGCTATCATGGCTAGTGCGCTCGACTCTGGATCAAGCAGTCCAGGTTCGAGCCCTGGCTGGGGGCATTGTGTTCTTAAGCAAAACACTTTACTTTCACAGTACCTCTCTCTGACCATGTACCCAAATGGGTACTGGCAAATTTAATGCTGGGGGTAAGCCTACAATGGACTAGCATCTCATCCAGGGAAGAGTAGAAATATTCCTAGTCGCTTCATGCTACAGAGACCAGGATAAGCTCCTGCCTGATGGGCCACTTGGTTTGTATGCAGACTTTCTCTAACTTCCATCCTAGATGAGAAAATCTTTCTTTTGTGTTATTCCCCTAAACTTCTGTCCCAAGTTAGAATTTAAATATATTGAAATTGGTCTATTGAGATGTTTATTTTGAATTAACATGAAATTAACATGAAAGGGAACATTTAGAATAAAAATGTAGCCTAGATTCAAGCCACTCGTGCGTTAATAAAACATGAAATAAGGAATCGGGGATACAACTTGAAATGAACCTTTGGAGTAGACTGGCTGCTGTCCAGTTAACTGTTCAAGAACCTTGGCAGCCCGAGTCAGTCTGTCACCGCTCTCACCAACACAAATGTTCAGACATAACTTCCTGATTTGTAGCTCCTTCATGGGATTTTGTTTGGCCTGAACCTTAAAGAGCCAACGATAAAATCATAATTTAAGTAAAATTATAA